ACTCCGAACGGCGATTGTATTTTAGTGAGAAGCTGTTTTTCATGGCAGAAATACACTCGGAGGTTTGCCATTGCCTGCCGAGGGACGACCGCTGTTAAGAAAAAAACCTTTTTCTATATTTTTTGGGATGTTGCTTTGACCACGGTTTGAACCCAGGTACTGATGAGTGAAAGCGCGCACTGCTTACCACTACACCACAGCGGCCCGTATTTTTATAAAATCTGATTGAAATTCATAACGCGCATTCATTTCATGACAAGCAATGGTTTTGCAGAAAAGGGACGAATTTACTTTTCAGATGGCTAAATCAAGGGTGCGTTTAGGTATGCATATAAAGACCGCAACATTGTGTAAGCGCACCTTTGTCTGACCTGTCATACACCTAAATGCGATCTTACATCTACCCCCGATTGACGAAATTGTTCAGGGCGGCCGTTGTGGAAAAATGAGATTTGGTAACTCTGAACTCCAGGCATCGAGATTTATGCATAAAAATCGTTAAATCGTTATTAAAACAACAGATTTGTAAAATAATAGCTAAAGAAAATACCGCCTATCAGGCTAACCTAATATTCACGCACGCCGCCAATTTATTGTCAAAAATTTCTCATGCACATGCTACTTGTATGAGATCAACCGAAATTGAACGGCGTGCGTATGAAGCTAACTCAATTTCCAATTTTTGTTCTGCGTGACATTTTGATTTGACGTTTCGCTCAATGAAATCAAATGCAAACGCATGCAAGTCAATTTCGGGTGACGCAAAAAAACAAATTCGACGGCATGCGTACCAAAACGCAAGCCGCGAATATTAGGTTAGCCTGTATCAAGGCAATGCCCTCAAGGAATAAACTGTTTTTTCGCTCATCGACGATATGTTTGGTTGACTGTGCATCTCAGAAACGAAATTATTTTTTTAAAGCGTTAGATTAAGAAAACCCCTCCAGACAATCGCCAGATTATGGAACAGAATCACCAGGGCATCGAGATGAACCTTCTGTATGAACATCTGACGCGATCGAGTAAATCCAAATGACGGTTTTTTTTGCATCTTCAACAAGACGCCATGAACTTGCGTCACATCTAAATCGTCAGATTATTGAATGGGAGGTTCATTCGGACCCATTTAATATCCCTTGTGAATATCTGAAGCGCTCGAGTAAATTTTTTTGTCACCCAATTTTGGCCCTTTCGGTCGCCCACCCCCGCAATGCGAACCGGCAGATTAGCATATCTCCGTCATCAGAAACACGTT